GTGTTTATTTTGTTTCCTTTCAGAAATAGTGTGTGCTATTTTGATGTATTCTAAGAATAGTGTTTAGTTTGTTCTCTTTCAAAAAATAGTGTGAGTTATTTTAGTTCAGTTTCAAAAGTAGTGTGGGTTGGTTTAGTTTCAGAAATAGTGTGAGTTATTTTGTTCTAGTTCCATAAATATTATGTGTTATTTTGATTTAGTTTCATAAATAATGTAAGTTATTTTTATGTAGTTCCAGAAATAGTATTGGTTATTTTTGTTCAGTTCCATAAATAGTGTGAATTATTTTGTTATAGTTTTAGACATAGTGTGAGTTATTTTGCAGTAGCTCCAGAAATAATATTGGTTATTTTTGTTCAGTTCCATAAATAGTGTGGATTATTTTGCTATAGTTTTAGACATAGTGTGAGTTATTTTGCAGTAGCTCCAGAAATAATGTGAGTCATATTGGTTCAATTTTAGAAATAGTGTGGGTTATTTTGCAGTAGTTCCAAAAATAGTGTGAGTCATATTAGTTCAATTTCAGAAATAGTGTGGTTATTTTACTATAGTTTCAGGAATAATGTTCAGTTTGTTCCAATCTAGAAATAGTGTGAGTTATTTTGGTTCAGTACCAGAAATAGTGTGGGTTTTTTGCTGTAGTTTTAGAAATAATATGGGTTATTTTGTAGTAGTTCCAAAAATAGTGTGAGTTATTTTAGTTTAGTTTTGAGAAGTTCCATAAATAATACAAGATTATGTCCACCAAATCACAAACAAGAATATGTAATCACACTTCTAGACTCATGTTCAACAAATACTTTATAAATATACAATTTTACTGTATTTTTATTTTTTAATTTTGTATTGGAGCAAAGACATGAGAACCCCATTGAAATGGTGACTTCTCTTCGTGAGAACTGACTTGGGATGTTCCTGTCTAAATTTATTATTGAGTAGGTTTGTGTTGGGCTCTTGCTTTTAGTCCCCTTTTTCAACCAAAAAAAATGGTGACTTCTCTCCTGCTCTCTCTCTCTCTCTCAACCTCTGTGTGCCAAAATCTAAGTAAAACGCTTAATTAAATGCTACATTTTAAAATGAGAACTGCTAAACTGACTTGTCATTCAAGTAAGTCTCATGAAAATCGTTATACGCGCCCTCAATCTTGATGATATAAGCAAAACAAGCCCACCACAAAACAAATAAATAAAGGTATAATAAAATAAGTGCAGCAATTATGCTTCCTTCACCTTCTCAACCATATTTTCCCTAATTTTTCACATCTCTAGTTGCAAACCATATTAGCCCCACACCGCATCACCATTAAAATCACCATGAACAACCAAAATTAAACCTTGGATCCCAAAACTTGAAATTAAACTGGCAGGACCCAGACTCTCAATTTGTTAAAGCGGACTAGTGGAATGAACTGTAAAATTTTAAATAAATGACCTGGATCTATGGGTTCACCTACTTCGGACTTGAAGATTTGGAGAGAATTTCGATTCCAAAAAATAAGCTACTCCTGCCAATTCCATGTGATGTAGGTTCGACATCTCCAAACCCTATATTTGAATTGCTCCAAAACAAGCCACGTCTAAAGGGGGTGTATTCAATTAAGAATTTGAGAGATTTTAATGGATTTATAAATCCATGGATTTTTACGGAGTTTAACTGATTTGTAGATATTATATGTAAAATTTTGATTCAATTCTCTCATGGGAAGAAGTGTGATTTGTGGATGCTTAAAATACTCTACAAAATCTCTCCAATTCCCTTTAATTCCTCAACTTTTCCAAATTCTCTAAATTCTAATTCTAATTGAATACACCTGGAATGTTATAAACTTTTTTAAAATTCTAATTGAATACACCTACATTTTTAAGGATTTTAATAAACTATCTTAAAATTATGATTGAATACACATTGAATTTCAGAGAATCACTTAAAATCCTAATTGAATACCCCTCAATTCTTTAAAAGAATTAAAATCTCTCAAAATCTCAATTAAATACACCGTCCTAAATAATATAGCATTCAATTAATACTCCTCCTTGTAGGGTGCTTATAAGCCCCTTCATGGTAATTGAAGATAATGATGAAACCCTAGCTTTCCACGTCAAACTTAACAAGACTAGTGAATCATTCTAATAGAATACAATGGGATAAACCTTAACACTCGAGTGTTTGAAGCTCTGGGTAAGGACGTTGTAAAGAAATGTAAGAGTTTGCCACTTGTTGCGCTTAGGTAGTCTTATGCACTATGCGAAAACAATAAGTGAATGGAAAGCTGTTTTGAATAGTAAATATGGGAACTGTAAGAGGTTGAGCAACAAGTTTTCCAACCTTTATTGCTAAGTTATCATGAGTTCATTGTGGAGCCAAAAACAATTAAGAGGCGACACGTGGATTTTTGGGTAAAAAGGACAAAATTACCTTCGAGGCACACCAGAATTCTTACGCATGAGCAGTGAGCAATTATCCTTCAATCAAGTCAAAAGTGCCCAAAATAGGTGACAATTCAAAACCTATTTCATCCATCCTCATCAAATCTTCTCCACAAGGTAGCCTCCAAGACATTCCTTTTAAATTATGTTAATTGGCTAATTAATTGATTTATTACCTAATTAATCTATTAATGGCCAATTACACTACCAATTACACCCAAAGAACACACAAAAGGCCAGTCACCTTCTTTCCCAAGGGGGATGGCCATGCCTTATATATTCTACCTCATTTTCTCTAAAAAGTTAGGTCTTCACTTTTGCTGAACACTCAAAATTCTCCTAACACTTTTCCCTCAAAATTCTAACTTTGGCATCAGAGGTTCTTCGGCCAAAGCCCCCCCTCCCAATAATCGTGGGCGCGTGAGGCTCGTGGCTTGACCTAAGGTGTTATTTGTTTTGTAGGTGCAATTTTGTCAAAGAACAAGGAGAAAGAAATTTGCATTCATATCCATTACCTTGCCCCAGCAAACTGCAAACGTTGTCTGTTATATTGTCTTAGTTTCTAAAAAGATTATGTGATAGATAAAAACAATTTGGTTGAGTTGTGGATGTCACAAGATTATCTTACTACGGGAGTAAACAACTAAAAGAAAACAATAGGTACATGCATTTGGATAACTTAGTAATACGGTCTTTCTATCAAGATTTTTTGGTAGATGATGATGATAAATATAAGAAGCTTCATAATGCTTGATATATTATAATTGATTTTGAGCATTATATGTCCAAGAATGAATTTTTCATTTTTGAATTTGAAGGACCTGAAAGCTATCGGATGATAAGGTTTGTCATTTGATCTTAGAGCATTTCCACCCGTTAGTGAAGAGAAGGGCAATTGGAGGGCAAGAGCAATAAATTGCTCTTACTATTTACTCTAAACAGTAATTATCTGTGTGAAAGTTCATCCGTTTGGAAGAAGAAAGAGCAAAGACAATTACTATCCATATATATATATATATATTATGTTTTGTGCCTTGTAATTATGTACTTAGTAAGTTTGATCTTTGAAAATAAATTCAGTATCTAGCTCTAATAATATAACTTTAAATACATATCAAAATACAAGCATTACAAACAAACATAATTATGCTGTTATGTGGGTGGGCTGGGTTAGGCTGGACTGGCTATCACATGGGTGGGGCCCCCCACCCCCACTGTTAGTTGAAAGGGCATAAGCCCGTGTAATTGTTGCAAGGGCAATCAGCCCTTGCCGCAATTGCCTCTCCAATTTTGGACCGTGGAGGACTTTTATTTGGGTTGGAGGCAATTTGAGTCAATTGCGAAGGCAATAAAGTCGGTGGAGATGCTCTTAATGTTTGTCGTTGAGGGTCCATCCCATTTGATGTTTTCCAATATTGCAAAGATCTGAGTACCCTTGTCACTCTAAACTCGAAGGATTCTGTCATTAGCCTAGAGCTAGTTTTCAATTGTTCTCTATGTTCTCACTTGGAGAAACATTGAATGCCACCCACAACCAAATCCAAATTTAAGTTGTCCAGTAAAAGGAAGTTGTCAAGGGGCCGCGTTGTCTCTGAATTGGTTGGTGCCATTGCAGAACTTAACGAAGCTTTGCCTCCTTTGGGAAGATTGCCGTCTCTTGAATGGTTATAGAAATACTGCAAGCATTGTCATCCCCGAAATCTTCATCATCATCATCATCATCGACACTTGTTTTATTCTCCAAACTGAGGGGCTATATAACTGAAGGGATTCTCAAGTTTCGATCTGACGCTAATCCAACGCCTTGGGATACGAGCACTACCTGACTTCGTGAGCAGCGAGCACCACTACTAATCAGCTGAGCTTGTTGAAGTGAACAACTGAGATCATCCAGCTTCTCTCGATCTGCATTCTTTTACTATTTATGTGACGCTAAGTTTCACTGTAAATAAGGCTGAAATATTAGGAATCAAGTCAATTAGGAGGCTAATTAATTGATGCCAATTCTTTGTTTTCCTATTAGAAGTTCGTCAACATGCCATGTTAAAGTCTTAGAGAGACGGGCCGAAAGGTCTAGCATTGATATTATTTCCAATTTGACCACATGTAGCTAAAGGGCATCAGTGTTATTAGAAATTCAGGAGTGCAACAATACACTTATGTGTGTGTATATATACATATATATTTTATTTTATTTTCTCAATTTATCTGATGTGAGACCTATATTCAACTTGTTCTGAATATTAACTACAATGAGACCACATTCTACGTATGCAGGTAGTTATTACAAAGAGTGGTGAGAGAGAGAGATGATAATTAAAAGGATAGTGTTATTCACATTATTCACATTCAATTTTACTTTTCACACACTCTTGTTAATTTTGAGAACCTTTCGGCTTTCGGCATACTCTGGTCAAAATTTGAATAAACATTCGGAGGGATTGGCCGATTGACAATTCAACTTTCGGCTTTTGTCACCGAAGACCATTTTTTATTTCATTAATTTACTAAAACGACACCGCCGTGTGTATATATATATATATATATATATATGTTCCCAAATTAAAAACGGAAGCATGACTGGAAGTCCTAAACCCAAACAAAAACCCGCCATCGTTCACAATTTTCTTCCATAAAAAAACTATAAAACAAACCCTAATTTGAAAACTTCCGTCCCCAAATTCCAATTTCCCCGCCAAGAGACGTCGAAGAATTTGAGGCAGCAACCCAAGAAACCCTTAATAAGATTCGATTTTTCGTCTTCTGTATAATACATTTTGAACAATCGCCGGTCCAAAATACAGGGAATGGAAGAACAAGGTGGATCTGAAGATAACGAGCCTGTGGATCTTTCCATTCACCCCTCTGGCATTGTTCCCACTATTCAGTAACTCTCTCTCTCTGTCTCTCTCACTTGTTGTGTGATTTTTCTAATTCTGGGTATTTTTGGGAAGGGGGGGGGGGGGGACTGAACCTAGGACCGCGGGTGCAGGTTAAATGCTCTTAACCATTTGAATGTTATTGGTTTCTTGGGTTTATGCTAGGAATATCCGTTTGTGGGTTTATGGGGGTTACAGGGTTCTGGTTTCCTAAAGGGAAAGGAGGATTTAAATTCTAGTGTAAACTGATTCATTTATATATCTCTAGGATGTTGTTTTTGGGTTCTTGAAGGGATTGAAATTCTTTTGATTTTTCTGGTTGAAGTCGAATTTAGGGTAGAAATGAATTAGATGGCCGTCAATGAAAGATTTCATGTGATAGTGATCTCTGTTATTTATTTATTGCGGGTCAGTTGGGTAGTGAATCCACCAAGTTTGGTATTCATTAGTTCATGATATGCATTTTTTAATCTTAATTTCTTTTCTTTTTCTTTTATAGTGAGTGCATTATTTACAAGCTGGAGTATTTTGTGCTTAATAAGTAGTTTAATAATCCTTCTGTTCTGGTTGTGTTTGTAGTAATATTGTATCTACGGCTTTTTTGGGTTGCAAGCTGGATCTCAAGCAAATTGTGTTGCAAGCTCGGAATGCAGAGTACAATCCCAAGGTATGCAAGAGTATGTATAATTAATTTCAGTAGTGTATTGACTGATAACTGGTGCTAGCTCACTCTTCCGAAATATGTTATACTGGGTTCTTTAGGAAGTAGTAGTTGGATGTGATGCTAGTGTCGGTTGACTGATACTACTGTCGGTTGACTGATACCTTAATTAAAGGCTGCCTACTTTAGCTGAGTTGAGAATTAAGTGATTCCAAGTATCTTATAAAATTGGTGGAATCTTGGTTGGGTTTCTCTCTCTCTTCCCCTTCTGAAACAAACACATGGATCTATCTCAGTGTGACTTCTAACTGAATCCTAACTTCTTAGTTATTGAATGGTACTGCAGCGTTTTGCCGCAGTCATTATGAGAATAACGGAACCAAAAACTACAGCTTTGATATTTGCCTCTGGAAATATGGTGAGCATGCTTTTGAATCTCTTTGCATCCTGTTTGGTTCCACCTTTGGTCGTAATGTCTTTGTTCTTAAATCCATACTACCATGTGAGATCTGATAGAACGATTTATCTTACATGATATGTTTTTGCTTATCATACTCCAGTTGATTGTGCTATTATCTGTTGACATGGCTATGGATCTAGTTTATACATGATCATGAATTCGCAGATGTGTTTGTAATTGTATGATTTGTATCCCTTCATACATGAACATGGCAATTGTCATGCTAGTCTTAGTAATGCATTTTGGCCTTCTGTCACTATAGTTTATTGTCTTTGTCGTGAAGTAATGATAAATGTTTAACTCAGAATATCCCCCAAAAGGGACCATTGTTTGGTTGCTTATTTTGATTATGAAATCTAAATCGGTGTGTATGTTTAATACCAGTTCTGGTCGTCTGAATTGCATTTTTTTTTGTTCAAGATGTACAGTATCTTGAATCTTAAATTGACAAATATTGGTGCTCAGATTAACATGATATTTTGGAGATGGTGCGATCCTTTTATGAGTTTCATTTCAAATGGCATGTGTACGTGTTAGACTTGGAATTGAATTATTTGTTATGTTCTGAAATTATGTATACGTTATCTTCTTTTATTGGAAGCCATGGACAGTTGTGCATTGTTGCCATAAACTCCTGTTTTTGCACCCAGCACTTCTGCAACCAAAACTGGGTTTTAAAAATTTACTCACGTCAAAACCTTGGTTGACTACTGCATTACATTCTCATGACCATTTGAACATGATAAAGCCCCCTCCCTTTTCCCTCCTGCCTTGTTTGTAATGTATTTGAGTTATGCACGCATCATACCATTTTTGCCTTTGGTTAAGAGATTTAATCTCTCTGGTACTTCAGGTATGCACAGGTGCGAAAAGTGAAGAGCAGTCAAAACTGGCAGCAAGGAAGGTAAATGTTGCATGCTTACAGATGTTACCATGATAATGAAACATAGTGCTATATATTTGGGACATTTCATGTCTTTATGTGTTTTTAGGCATTTTAAGGCAGGAGTAGAGTGACAATGGACTTTTACCCTTGTTTTGGAGTGGCTTAAAACTTTTGGTATCGACCTTACGTACCCCGAGTCAGTGACTGAAATCATTTGGCCTTTGTTAATGGTCACAATCACGAGTGGGTGTGGTTTTGTAGTCAATGATTACACAGTTATTAGTCAATGATTATCCTTTACATAATTATTGTTTTATGTAATTAGATTAGTGAATCTTAATTAGGTTGCAAGGACATACTGTGGAACTTCTTTCATCTGACTTGAATATTTTTGGTTCCCAGTATGCTCGAATCATCCAAAAGCTTGGGTTTGCTGTTAAGTTTCAGGTATATATATATATATATGTATCTCACTCTCTCTGCCTCTCGTTTAAGGCCATTTGGAATAAGTTCTTTATATTACACTTTTGATTATTCCTTAATACATGTTTTTGTGAAATTCAGAGATTCGAGATTAGAAATATTGTTGCAGTCCTGTGATGTTAAATTCCCAATAAGACTTGAGGGCCTTGCATACTCCCATGGTGCCTTTTCAAGTGTAAGTTGGACCTGTCCCATATTTGTTTGTAATTGACATGATTTTTAAGCTTTTTCTGTTTTTGTTTATGTTTTCATAATTTTTCTCCATTGAGATTTGATTTAAGTTTCGTTCATGATCTGGTGTCCATGTTGTTCTACTCTTGGGATGATCATCTTATTGTGTGGTTGGCGATTTAGGTGTTTATATTTTATGATCAAGGACATGATATTATTACCTTTGCTTTTTGAAATTTTGCTTTTAGATGCTCGTAATTAATGAGTTCAACGTCTTTTGTGTGGGCATTAGCATTCTAGGTGCATTTTGATATATATTTAATCGGTGACCCAATTCATCTATAATGTTGTTAAGCAAACACTCCTTGTCAACCAGAATGTATAAAATGTCATTTATACTCTTTTCATTCTTGATAAGTGTGATTATAAATATAAAAATGAAGGATAATAGTAACAATTCACAACAATGGGATAAAAACTAGACGAGAATCTGTGTGCTGTAAATTGTTGGTAGGTAAAAGTGCAACTGTGCAACAAGGACATTCAAGTACGAGAAGAGAAATTTACAAAATGGCTTAAAAACTAATGGAATCTTACCAGTAGGCGTCTAGGAATCACTTTTAGAGATCTTAGGCATCACATATCCAGCAAATGCTTGCTGGACATTTCTGCTAGTTACTTCATGTCCCGAAATTAAGGTTTACAAGCCTATTTATAAATCTCTACCAGCGACTACGAAGTCTAATTCGTGACTCCCAAACCAACACAAGGACTACTATATATATACCCAATACATGAATCCTATCAGACCAAAAAAAAACACATGAATCCTAGAAACAATGCTTATTTTGAGCCAACATTATGATAGGACAGTGTATGTGCCCTATACATGAATCATAGGGGCCAAACAGAATTTTGCAGTAAGAAATTTGCACTAAATGCATAGGTCTAACAAGCTGAAAAATTGAGCGTGTTTCGGGATTACAGTATTGCTTGGGTATGGGAGCATTTTTGAAATTCTGTAGGTGGGATTCTTTGTTTGGTGAAGAAAAAGAAGATTCACAATAAGTGCTTTTCCTTTGTTTCTAATTGACGTTTGAAAATTTTGTACTGGCTGGTATGCTCCGTAGTCCACTTAGTGGGATAAGGTTTTGTTGTTGTTGTTGCTAGTATGCTCTGTAGTTGCTATTTCAAGAACTGACATTATCTTGTGTTATGCTGGTGCAGTATGAGCCAGAAATTTTCCCAGGGCTGATATATCGCATGAAGATGGAGCAGAAGGAACCACAGGAGTCGGAGGTGCCAAAGAAGAAGAAGAATGTTGTTCTTCTTATATTTGTGTCGGGGAAAATTGTTATTACCGGTGCAAAGGTGATTTGCTGTGTTTATTGTGCACCTCCTCTTCTTTCAGTTCTCCTGCATTTGCAGATAGACGTTTGTTGTTAATATTATGTTTAATTTGATGTCTTAGGTGAGAGAGGACACGTATAAGGCGTTTGAGAACATGTACCCTGTCCTTACAGAGTTCAGGAAGGTCCAGCAACAGTAATGGTGCGCCTTCTTTAGCTTCCTCACTCACAAACACCAAAAATATATAAAATAAGTAAAAATTGTGTTGCTTGATGAAATCTTAACTTTTGGATGTTTCTATAGCACCGTATTGCTAATTGCTTCCTCATATTTTCTTTCTTTTCTCTTTTCGTTCATACTGCATATGTAAGCTGTTTCCAGTAGACACGTCTCGCAACGTAGCTCCGGTGCTGTTGGTTGGCAATGTCTGCTGCAACATTTTTGCTCATCTCTGGTCAGTTGCTGAAAGGGTTAATGGTTCGATTTGGACCGGTTTCACCCGAAATCAAACCAAACCAATATTCGGTAATTTTGCGGATTTGGCGGTTTAGGCGTACGCGTTTAATTCTTAAATTTTTTTGGCAACTTAGCACAATTATAGTCATTACAAAGTTATATGATCTTTTTTTCACATTGTTCAAATTAATTGTAATGTGAAATGAAACATAATAGTTTTATACTCGCATGTTTTTGCAATTTTCCTCTTACCAACTTCCAAGCATATGAAGTTTACATTTTATCAACCATTCTAATTTCTGATTCCCTAATAATAATACCATCATCATCTTTCGGTTTCTCCGATAAATAATCTTCGATCCGTGTTGAGAAGCATGACACCATGTTTCCCTACCGTGGAAGCCTTGTTGAAAAAACAATCCGACGCTCAAGTTAGTATGGTGTTCAAGAAGATTGCAGTAGAATTTGGATTGATGTGGTTGATTGAAAAAGTAAAAGTAACAGACATGGGAATTACCCATTTCAATGCGCACATGTTAATTACAAATATGATATTTACAGTGAGTGGAAGGTCCGACGGCAACAAATTCTGGTAGTTCTGATCCAAAGAAGTTGAAGGATGATATCTAAATTAGAAAAAGACTGATAAATAATGAATAAAAAGGTGTATGCATGCATGATATTTCATTTTTAGGTATTTAATTATGAATTTTAATGTAGCATAATTTTTTTTTTTGCTCTACATGCGTTAGTAAATGCATGAGAAATCAGGGAATTAGAATTATAATGTCAATATTGATGTTTAAGTAAATGTAGATAATTTTATGATCATGTTATGTAAGTAAATGTGTCATCGGTGTGCTTGAAATTGAAAAATCAACCAAGTAATGTGGGCAAATATTCAATAATTTCATGCAATGTGTTCTAAAGAGCATACTGTTCATCGCATTGACTTGTTCAACCATGTGTTCCTGCTGCTGATATATTTTAAGAACTAGTTAAAATATTAACCAAAAACTACAATACAAAACGTCACGCTTACAGAGACTTCCCATTTCATGTCTTTGATGATGGACCATTCTAAACTCTGATGGCATCCATCATCATATATAAGAATCTATCACACACCTATCTTTATGGACAACATTTACACACTTGATCGGATACATGAGGTAATAAGAAAATAAGATCAAATAATACTAACAATCGCATAATTTGTTAGACGAAAACTTGACCTAGCCGTAATATTTTACTCAGCATCAGTTTTGTCTTTCTGCATTGCATTTTATGCTTCAAATCAATACTTGAGGATAATTGAAGCCTTTTGGATAGGAAAGGGTTTGACCAAGAACATGTACTCTAAACTTATTTTATCTATTAACTAATTAGATGGCTTGTTCTTTGATTGAATATCAGAGCTTAGTATCTTTTGATCGGCAAACATTATTTCCTGGCGTCATGATTTATCTCTTATCTACTTGAGGACAAGTGTGAAGATGAATATAATAATCTAGCAAGATAATGAGATAAACTAGCATGTGAATTGATGCTTAATTTCATGCAATGTTCAAAACTTCTAATACACTGTTCAGCACATTTGACCAGTTGAACCATGTATTGTTGCTTCTGGTATATTTTAAGAATTAATTTAAAATATCAAGCAAGTACTGCAATACAAACATCACCAGAGAGACTTCCCGTTTCATCACTTTGATAAAGACCATCACGTTTACTTTCGATCATGCATGCATTCTGAACTTCCCTGGCCGTCGATCGTATTAAAATATGATCCCAAACACAGTTGTTATGGACAGCAACACTTGATCAACATGAGGCAATAAGAAAATAAGATCAAATAATAACGACAAGCTCAGAATTTGTTAGGTGAAAACTTGACCCAACTTAATGAAAACCTAATATTTTACTGAGCATCAGTTTTGTCTTCTGCATTTGTTCCTTCAAATCAATACTTGAGGATAACTTAAGCCTTTGGGATAGGGAAGGCCTTGACCAAGAACATGTACTCCATACTTGTTTTACTTGTTGACTGATTAGATGGCCCTTTTCTTTGATTGGATACCAGAGATTAGTTTCTTTTGAGTAGCAAACATTATTTCCGGGCATCAAGAAGCAATTTTTTATCTAATTGAGGACAAGTATGAAGATGCATATAATACTCCTCCCTCCATATTGCCACAATTATCCAATTTGCAGCATATGGGAATGCTTTTGTTGCATATGTGACAAGATACTTAATTATATTAACTAGCGTGTGAATTAGGAGATGGATTATCAATCTGCATGGATACAGATGTGCTTAAAATATGATTTGGCGTATCTTTTTTTTTTTTTTTTCGTCAACTAATAGGATTATGAAATTTGGCTCTAAACCACCATGTCTTAATTAGTTCACGATAATTAATCATGATGCATGAAGAACATATAATTTCGCAATTACGTTGCAATGCTTATTGCTGTGCTGTTTGGACTGCTGGACTTCAAACCTAATTAGGTCATGAACCACGATGAACATGTAATAGGTTTTTGTCATGGATTATTGTAATCACACGGTTCAAATACAAAACTTCAAAAAATCAATTGCGAAATAGAGATCTTCAGTAAATTAAAGTTCCATGCTTTAATTTAACGTATAATTAATTAAACACAATTTTGCAACGATATCTGAGGCCGTTTGCAAAGCATATACGTACAAAATATACGTCAACATCTTGGTGGATTTTCTTAAACTTAATTGAGAGATTAATTCATACAATAATGATCCGAATACGAAGATCCCTTTTTTTGTGGCCTCCAAAGCAGGAAAAATCCATGACAGTCATCAACAAGTACGTACTACGTAGATCAATGACAAGGCAAAGAAAAACGAGTATGCATTACGTGTTCGAATACCGCCAACGTTTTGTTGATAGAGAGTCTAGAGACCTTCATGCGTCGAACATCTTCCAAGTAGAGCATAAGAAATATGATCTCTAAAGATACGCTCTCATAATATCCAATCAATGTTTCTAATGCATGTATGTTATGGAAATAATTTCAGCATACTCATTTCATCTTCCTGCATACCGTTGTTTATTTTTGTCTTCCTAGATTTTTCATTGGTTTATTCAATTCAAATGTCATAAATAAACACATGTGTGCACATTATAAGAAAATGATTTGCAGAAATCACCTCCCTAGCTATGTTATCTGATATAATCTCACCAAGTGGAGCCTAAGAATGTTAATCCAAATCTACAGTTTCCCTATCCATTGGGCTTGTACTATGTTGAATTATAGTTATAACTTCAATGTTTTGGGCAGATTACAAAATCAATGTTATTCAGGGTTGTTTAAGGTGAAAGATAAGAATCTGGGAAGTTGGAGGAGATTCTAATTAAGACTGCAAACAATATAATGATACAAGCAATCTGATTACATAATCACATTTAAGTAATAATTAATCAATTAATTACATGCGTATTACCCTATCTGCAGAATGTAGTTGTTCTGGATTTGTTTAAACAAATGGATTCAAGTTTTCAGCAGAATATCATCATGCAGAAACGGCGGGTCCTTATATACTAATTATAAAGATTGTAGTATTGCAATTTACTTGATTCCTGTTAGCATATAAGATACCATTTGGCAATTGTAAATTTGCACGAAGTTGCGCCCAAACTCTTTCTTTCAGCAATGTCTAATTAAACAAACATTATCTAGCTAATTATGATCAACTTTGACCTCCTCCAAATACTTAAGAAATGTATCTGTAGCAATAGCTACCATTTTCAAATTTTCCTCACCTTTCTAATGAATAGCTAATTGTGTGCCAAAACATTATGCTCTCAACATGACACAAAGGTAAGTGGTCCTTTACCACAGTGGTAGGAAGAGGTTAAGCTCTTGCATGACGGCGTGAATTCAAATCTCATCGGTGGCTAACCTAATATCTAATATAATAAAATATATCGTTTGACAACAACCAAAAAATGACATGAGGAACAATTAATGGCATGATTCCACGTAGTCCTAATCATCAAGTACTTCTCTCTTAAGGGGCTTGTAGCTCATTTTGTTTAGAGCATGCTCTCTTCAACCTGAGGTCGCAAGCTCAAATCATTTTCCACCAATATGCTTATTGTTGAAATATTTCACATCGGGAAGAGAAAGAGAAAAAAAAAAGTTTAAATACCCTAACTCTACCCCAACAATACCAAGACATTTTGTGATAAAGGTCCACATGTGTTGGACTGTGTAATGATAATTGACAAGTTGGGGACAATAATGTTGTTAGAAATGTCTCTCTGATAATTTTACACATATATAATTAAAATCAAGCATTTCTCTCTTATTCTTTTACAAGAGAGAAAGACTTTTCCATATCACATTCAACATATTATGAATATTGCAGGCCTTAGACCATCTCCAACTCATGGGATAAAGCTTAAAATATAAGCTTTAAAACCCTCCTAAACCAACTCCAATCATGGGCTAAAATAAGTCGAGAAAATATATGTCTGGGCTAGATTCTCCCCAGGATTTAAGCCTGATTTAAATTATTATGGACTCACGAAACTGTCATATTTCAAACTTTTTGTTTTTTTGTTTTTTACTTATAATCTAACAGCTATGATCAAATGAGATCAATTCTAATAGTAAAAAAATAAATTTGACGGCCCAAAATTAAATCTAACGTCTAAGCATTCCTGTCGGTTATAACTGACAAGATTCTCAGTATTTCTGGCCAGCCTCGGGCTGGCTGGCTGGCTGCTTGCAGCCACCCCTCCAACCCTCTAGCCCTCTCCGATTTCGTGGGGCCCTCTCAGATTCCAGAGCCCTCTGGCCTAGCCCTCAGTTGGAGACGGTTTTCGGGCTATTTTTGGCCCTCTAGCCCTTTGGACCCTTCGGTTGGAGATGGCCTGGCTCGTTTTAGCTCTCTGGCCCTCCAAGATATTAATATTTTAATTAACAGTACATGGCCATATCTGCCTCCGTCGCCAACCGAGGGCCAAAGGGCCATAGAGCTCGTTTTAGCCCTGTCACGAAAAATCGTCTCCAACCGAGGGCCAAAGGGCCAAACATAATTTATTATTTAAATTTAAAAACTACAACAACTTAAATTCAAATCCAACAACATAAATTTAAAAACTACAACGATAACTAGCCCAAAAAACCAAAAAAATTAGAATTTAAATTTAATGAATGGTTTAGGTATTTATAAGAAAAAAAAAATTAGAATTTTTAAGAATTA